CAAGAAAGTGGTTAATAACAAAAATGGCTAAAGAACAGCAGTGTCTTCTCCTTTTAAATGATCTGTTTTGTGCTCATGAGAGCCACAACACACAGTCATTTTGAAGCTGTTGACTAAAGTTTTGTGGTTAGGGCGTCACATTGCTGAGATCAGTTTTCTCAGTGGTAATACCTGACACCTATGGTTTCCTTTTCATCCCATAGCTGGAGGTCTGCAGTCATCTCCACTACACTTGTGATATGTTAAATGTATTTGACATCTTTATCCAATAATGAAGCTGAAGGACTTGATAAAGTAAAACATTGATCCAGTGTTCAGTGATGTTTGCACATATAATTAACATTATTACTGTTATTATTGGTAGGCAACATCCAGGAGCTGGTACTGTAGCTGCTTTTTGTAACTGATCTAAACTGTTTTGATACCTGTAAGAGTGGCTGGGTATGCTCTTAACTTTTCAAATTCAGCTGGAAGAAACATAACAATGCTCTAAATATTACTTTCATATTGTTGTTAGTGTAAATACACTGAAGTTCATATGCACACAGAATGGAAAACTGTTCCTGATTCCTTTCAAACAAATGGCAAATACATAAAAAATATTTGTCATGTTGGTTGACATGAATTTTTATTTTTCATTATATGAAAGGAGTTTTTTTTGAAGAATATGCCTGCTGCAAATGCAAGAGTCCATGATTGAACTGAAGGGTGACTCAGCTATAAGTTTTTGATTGTTAAGGTTACAAAAAAGTCCATCATAGCATCTTGTAATGATGGCTATAAAGGTCACTGTGCTGCTTTTCTCTATTCAGTTCTGATTACCTTCCTCACAATCAGACTTTGGAGTGTGTGGTGCCCTCGTGTTCAGGAGCAATAGTGTGGTTATTACAGGCTGCTCCTGGGATTCTTAGCTGGGTCAGACAGATTAATCCTTCATGAAGATGGGAAAATGTCCCTTTTGGATCCCATGTTTAGATTGCTGATAAAATGGTTCCTCTAAATAATGGAATTACTGTAGTTGTCAAACATTTCCTAACTGCTTTTTGTCAGCTGTTATCAAAAGGCCTGATTTTCATTTTCCTGTTTAGTGTAGGCTTTGTTTTTCCTGAGCCAACTCTCAAAAAGTATTCAACTTCACTGATTAGTGTAAGCTTTCAAGGTTTATAAAATGCTCAAAGAATTATAATTAAAGATTTAGGAGCCTTAATATTAGCACTATGTTTACCTAAACCCCCCAAATATCTAAATATAGGAGGCTACTGTGCTTGCATTACACTTTATTTGCTAGGGAGGGGATTAGTCAAAAAAGCAGATGTAGAATATATTTGTCTGACAGCTGAGATGATACAGAAACTGTCACTTTTTCCACCATCCTTCTGTTCTAAAGGTTTTGATTTTGCTCTTAGAAAAACTTTTGGATTTGTTTTTCTTGACTATTTGACTTGACTGTTTTCTGTGAATTAAGATTACTTGTGCTGAAGAGGTAGGAGGTGTACAGGATTGCAAAGTACAGTTTCAAAAAAAAGTTTTTTAGTAGAATTTCTTGTATACGGGTGCTCAGGAATGTGAGACAACTGAGAAAACCAAGTGAAACATCAACAGAAACTTCACCAAAAAATAACAAATTCAAAATAATCTGTTATAGATTTTGTTGGCTTTTCCCCTGTAGAAATGAGATGAAAACAAAACCATTTCTCCTCCTCCTTTCCCCCAGTACTCTCCTTGTTCTAGCCATAAGTTCTCTTTGATTTCAATCTTAGTTTACTCATTCTCCAGGCCTGCTTTCAGAAAACATCTCTTAGACTTCCCCTTCTAGGGAATTCTTTTAGTGTGTGTTTTTAGATGTGCTGTTTTTCTTCTTTCTGTTTTAAATGATTTTTATTTTGAACTGCTTCTAAGAATAAAATTGATTGAACATTCAAATCCCAATATGTCATTCAAATTGTTCGTTATACCTTTAAAATTCTGTTGGTTCTTGGCACAACTCAAATTCTCCTTTAGGTATTTTAAACTGAGAAGCCCTGACCTTTTTTTTCCCTGCATTCAAATAGCATCAAATGAATGGTACTGTAATAAAAATAATATATATATATATATATCTTATATATATTTCAATGCAAGTACAGAAAAAAAATCTGAGGAAACATGTTGTCCTGAATTAATGGGATGCTGAAAAAACTGGTCTGCATTTACTTTATTAATATTTTGTGGATGATGTTGACTAATTTCAGTAGCCATAAATAATGTGAAAGGAAATGGCTGTCCAGGAATAAGACTTGTGCTAAGACATTTTCCCCCAAACTGAATCCATTTAGTGTTAGTTTTGGCCTTCTGCTTGCCTCCTTATTATTGCTCAGAATTTGGTGTTCAACTAGAATCAATGTGAAAAACTGTTTTCCTGCTCAGTGCTAAATTAAACTAAATAAATCTCCAGTCCTACAAACCTGCATGCATTTAGCATTACTTCTAAAGTTCACAGACATAAAATTTCTGTTGTGCAGGACATTCTCTGTGGTACCCAGAACTGGTTGTCTCAAGCAGATTGTGTTAGTCTTTATCTCCCATATGTTCACATTTGACTTCCAATATCTTTTCCATGCAGAGCATATATCTTTATAGCATTTGAGGAACTTCTGCTCACATCTGAGGATGCACTATGTATATGTTATTCAAACTGGTCCTGGTGGCTTGGTCAGCTGTGTGTTTGCACAGTAAATCAGTGCCCAGTTGCATTGATTTAACAGCATCTTTGTGTCAGCTCAGTGGGCTCAGTGATTCCAAGGACAAAGCAAGGTACACTTCTACTGAAACTACCAAATGTTTTGGTTATAAACCAAATCTTCCAAGCTGTGCCACCTGTAACAAAGCTGTAGCTGTACCACTACAAGGACAATGGTCTCAGCAGTGGCGTTGCCTCCATTTTGAGAGCTGCCAAAGGTTATTCTGTTCCTTTATCCCCTTGCCTTGTGGAGTATCCGTCAATTCACTTTAAATTCAGAGCATTGGGGTAGGACTGAATTAGGGAATGTGGGATTAATCACTACCAGACTTGCAGTGCAGAGGAGAGAGATACAACAAGTAGCAGGCAGTTGATGAGCCAGTTGGAGCACATAGAAAAAAGTGTGAGAATTAAAATTTGTGAGGCTGCAATGGGATTTTGTAAGAGATGCATTGTTGTAGTTCAGTTTGAAGGGGTAAGATTTCCTTTTGGATGGAAGGAGCCAGATGGATGTATTATTTCTTTTTGAAAACTTTGGTCTGGGAAACTGAAGGATCTTCCCAGGAAAATCCTTCTGCCATCATTGTCTCTGGCAATAATATCACCAGAAACTGAGGCCTGAACAAACTGTATTTGAGAATCTGAATTCTGTATTTTGAGTTCAATCCTCTTGTTATCTGTAACTAGTATGCAATATTTTTGTTTGTGTGGTGGTTA